CGTTGGTGGGCTCCTCTGCCCCTGCATCTTCCATGGTGGGAGCCTGTTGGGGGCAGGGCAGAGAGGACCCCAGGGGAAGGGCCCAGGGAGAGTTACCAGGGAGGCGCTCAAGAGCCCCTGGGTGGGGAAGAGGCCAAGGTTGTAAACGGGGTGGGGAGGGAGGGGGTGGGGAGGGGCCCAGAGTTCCGAGCCCCGAAAAGAAGGTCAGCAGGGGTCAGAAGAAGCACAGTGATGGGGTGGGGGCACCAGAGGCTGGCCCCAGTAGAGGTCTCTGAGACCCCAATCTCAAAACCTGGCATCTTCCACCCCATGGCCCTTGGCCCAGCCGTCCCCTTCTCCGTCCTCTGGCAGCCTTGGGGACCCCGCCCTCTGGCTCCCCAATATCTTGGGCGTGTGCCCTTGCTTTGTCCCCCAACTGCCTTATCAGGTTTGCTCCTTTGGCCTCACCTCTGCTCCCAGGTCCTCGACCCCCTGCCCAGGGGCGGCTCGCCCTCCGGCCTCCCTGCCTGGGCACATGAGTGGCCCCTGCAGGGCCGTCCTTCAAGACATGGTTCGCTCACACCTCCCTGCCTGAACTTGGGCTGAGGGTAACGGGTGAAGGAGAGTGGAGTCAAGAAGTGCTTAAATCACCCGCAAAAGCACCAGCTCTTCTGGGAAAAACAGCCAGGGAGTGAGCGGGGGAGGGACAGAGCGGGAGCCGGCCCTGGGCATCCGGCGGAGATGCGGGTTGGGGGCGCAGCGATGCCACTTGTGGGGAGAGGAGGAGGCTCCCAAAGGCCGGAGGGCCCATCAGACACAAGCAGGGGCGGGGGCTGTAGCCTCCATCCCCCGGGGGAGGCGGGCTGGCCCGGCGCTGCCTCTGCTCCCGCCTCTTCGGACCCTCTCCACCCACCTGGCGTCCCAATCTCTCCCACCTCACCTCCCGTCGCCCCTCACCCAGGCCCTGCCCCTGCCCCCGCCCTAAGACTGGAAGTGTGTCTGGCCTCCCTCCCACTGAGCCCCCAGCCCACCACTGTCTTAGGGCAGTGCCTAGTTTGAGACAGCTGTCACCATAGCCTGCCAGGGCTGTTCCCTTGGCCACTGGGCAATGTCTAACTGCTCCTGCCATACACCGGGCCCTGTGGCAGATGCTGGGGACACAAGGGGACTGCAGGAGGTGCTGGGGGCGACGGACGCCAACCAAACGCGGCTCCGGCAGTCTGAAGTCTTCGTGGCTGTCTTCCGCGCCACGGGGAAAACACCGGCTGCCCGCCACACCCTGGGCTCAGTGAGTTAGAGTGCCGTCCGGTAGATAAACACTGGAGTTGCACAAGTCACAGGTAGTCACAGACTGACGGAGCTAAGTGCTGCCGAGGGGAAGCTGAGGGAGCAGGGACAATGGGGCCACCTCATTAGGAAAGATGGGGTTCAGGCAGGCCTCTGGGAGGCCAGGACAGTGAGCCCTGGACTGAGGGGAGCAGGAGCTGGCCAGGCGGAGAGGCAGCGCAGGGCAGGGACACGGGGCCCGGCCCCAGTGCCCGGGGCAGGAGTGTGCCCAGAGGCAGGTGGCTGGGGGGGAGGTGTGGTCCCTCCCTGGCCAGCAGCTTCTCTGGGACAGCTGCCCCCGCCACCCCTTCCCGGGTCACACCTGCTCCCAGAGCCCGTCCTCAGGAGTTGCTGGCTTCGTCTTGCCTGGCTTTGATCCCTGGTATGCACCCTTCCTACAGTGCCCTCTCTGGGACTTCTTCCTGGGCTGGGGACTTTGCTCCCCGCCCTCCTTGTGATTCTGCACTGGGGCCCACCCCGCCGCCCTGTACCCTGACCGTGTGCTTGTAGGGAGGGGCCCCGAGCCCCTTGCTGAGCAGGCCGGAAGTGTTAGCTCGCGGTGGGGGTCGGGCACCGCGTGGTGGCCTTAGGACTTGGTCTGAGAAGCCACTTGGATGTCCTGGTCAGGGCAGGTGTGCCCGTGGTTCATGGAAACACCCCTGGGTGCACCAGGGTGTCACTGGAGGCCATAGTCTGGGGTCCTAGAGGGCAGAGATGAAGTTCTTGTGCCCCCAAGCAGGGCTGAGGGTGGCATGACCTTGGTTGACAACAGTCTAACAATGGTGAGACTGTCACACTAGCCCTGGGGGCTCTGTGGTGGCCCCACTGAGGTGAGAAAATTGAGGGGCAGTGAGGCTGGGGTAGCGCCTGGGGTCACGGGCGGGCCCGTGGAGAGCCCAGATCTGGGCCCTGTAGAACGGCAGGCAGGCGGGCAGGGAGGCGGGGGTGCTACAGGCAGAGCCTGCCTGACCTCCGCTGCCCAGTGGGAGGGCCCGCCACACCCAGCTGCTGGACTCTGTGTGTGTGGGGGGGGTGGTTACTGCCACCCTGGGGGCAGGGAGCTGGGGCTTGTTGAGCCCAAGGTTGAAGCCACAAATGGTCCCCAGATGGCTGCTGCCTCGGGCTGAGAGCCCGGCTGGGTGACTGGCTCAGACCTGCTGGGCCGGGGCCCATCACCCTGGCTGGCGCTCACAGGGGCTCGGCAAGCATTTGTGAATGAACCAGTGATCTTTCTGAATCTCAGAACTGGTGGTCCCCGGCTGTGCTCACACTCCCTCCTGGCACTGGAGCCTTCCGAGATAAAGGCCAGGCCCCCCAGGCTTGGTCAAGGCCCTGTGCACCTGGCTGGGCTGACACCATCACCTCCCCACGTCCCGACTCCCATCCCCTGAACGCTGACCCAGGGTCCCTCCTCCCCAAACCACGGTTCTTTCAGGTTGCAGCTCCTGTGAGCAAGCCAGAAGGAGCGTCCGAAGTCTGCCCAGAACGTTCCCCTGACCCTCTGTGACCTGGATGACAGCCACCTCCCTTGGGCAGCTGTCCTTGCCTGTTGCAGCTGACTCGGCCCTGTGTCAGCTGACCCAGGCCCCCAGTGTCCTGGGGTCACTCGGTCATGAGGACGTCTGTCGCAGCGCAACCATGCTGATCCTGCTAAGGCCTGTCTGGGTGCCCTTTGCCCCTGCAGGACTCCCTGCTTGGTCTTTGGCGCTCCCCCAAAGTGCTCGGGACGCGGAGCACCTCCACAAACAGTCTGTGAGCTGTGCAGCCACCAGGCTGAGTTACGGTACATCCGCTCGAGGGAATATCACGCAGCCATTAAGACCACAATTATGAAGATGATATTTTGATACCTGAGAGCAACAGTCAAACAGAGCGGCTTGCACACCACCCACTCTGCCTTGCGGTGCTGAGCGCTGCTCTGGGCCAGCCCTGGGCTTGGCATGTGGGCGGCAGGGGTGGAGAGGGGTCCCTCCTTCAAGGGTGCAGTCGGGAGAGCAGGAAGCACGCACATCATTCCTGAGCAACATGCGCAGTGCCGCGATGGAGGGATGCTGGAGCCCAGGGGCCCCGGCGTCCATCTGGGGGTCCGGGCAGGCAGGAGGGAAACCGCAGCGCTGTAACAACGCCAGCTGACAGCGTGTGGACAAGCCTGGAAGGGCGCAGAGGAACCAAGACTGTGGACGCCACGGGCCAGTGGCATCGTGGGTGATTTTTCTTTCCTTTATTAATGGTATAATGCCATGTGGGCCATAAATAAAAAAAGTGGGAGGCAAAAAAATAATAGCTGTTTGGTGAATTGAGTAGAAATCGGGAGAAGTAAGAAAGGGAGTTAAGGGGAAGTAAATGGGAAGGGAGAGGCAGAGAGGGCAGAAGCACTGAGGACAGGGGTGGCGGCCACAGGAGGGGAAGGCCTCTGTCTGCCCCTGGGCTGGGGGCAGGAGGGGTGGGAAAGCACGGGTGGGGTAAGGGGGCGCAGCATCCCTTCCCTCAGGGGACCCTGGGAATCTCGTCCCCCAGAGGAGAGGTGGCTTGGCCGGGCCTTGAAGGACAGCAGAGAGCACCGCGTGCTGAGCCCCTGGAAGGGTCTGACGTGGCTGGAGCTGGGTCAATGGGTGGGAGGCGTTGGGTTGGTTCTGGGGGGAGGGTCCCAGTCAGACTTCAGGGAGTCTGGGTATGGGCCAGCAAGCAGTTGGGGCCGAGGCGCAGAGGGTGTTGTCGGCAAAGGCAGGGACTGAGAGCAGCCCTCCAGGGAGGGAAATGGATGGCGGGAAGGGATGGCGGAGCTGGAGCTCAGCAGAGAGCTCCTTACTATCCCAGAGGTGGTCAAGAGCAGAGGGACTTTCCAGACTAAGAGGAGGGAGGTTTGGTCCCCCCCCCACACACACCCTACACAACCGGGTGCAGAGTCCCTAAGGAGTGTGCCGGGCACTGCCCCAGCCATCTTCCTGTTCAAGGTCTCCTTCAACCCTCACAAGCACCGTCGGAGGCGTGCGCTTAATGCTCCCATTTCTCTACAGAGAACGCTGAGGCTTGCAGAGATTAAGTAACTTGCTCAAGGTCACAGTTGGGCGGGGTGGGGGCTGGGGGGCTGGGATCCGACCTGCCCCTGCTCACTGAGGCAGCTGGGTGGGGCAGCGCAAAGGGAAGCCGGGGCGTTTAGAATAAATGCAGAGGAGAGGCTATAATGGGGAAAGGGCACCAGGCCAGGAGGAAGGGGTTACTTTCGCAGTAGGGTAGGAGGTTGGGTACCTGTTCGTGAATGAATGCATGGGTGGACGGACAAATGAATGAGTGAATGAATGAAAGAAAAAAATGAATGAGTGGGTACAGAGAAAAGGGGTGTAAGGAGAGGCTGCGCGAGCAAGAACCCCTTTCCCTCTTCCCCGCCCCCGCGCTGGAGGCTGGCTTTGAGAGCCTCCCTCCTCGCCCCGCGAGGGGGCTGGCTTCCAAATCTCCTTCTTCTACCCCCCCAGCCATTTTCGCCACAAGGCAGGGGTAGGAGGCCGCGGAGGCCGTTTCTCCCTGGCTGGGCCCGAGTCCCCGCGCGGCGGCGCAGCCTCCCGCGCCGGGTCCCGCCGGCCAGTGCGCAGCGCGGCGCCCCCGCCCCCGTCGCCGCCTTCCCGCCCGTCCCCCCGCCCCGCTCGCTGCCTCCCCTTTCTCCTTCCCTCCCTCCCCTCTCCGCGCCTGCACGCACGGCCCCCGCCGCCGCCGCCGCCGCGAGGGGAGAGGCGGCCGCCCTGCACTGGTTCCCGGCGCCCTGCTCGCCGCCGCTGCTCGCGCAGGCACTGCTGCCGGCCCTCGCCCCGCCGAGCGCACCCACCCGGGCAGACGCACCCGGCCAGACGCACCCGGCCGCCGGGAACAGCCCCGCGCACAACCCCCGCGACTCCTCCGGGCGCCGGAGCTGGGCAGATGCGCCGCTGCGAGCCCCTCGCCCCGGGCCCGCCACCGCGCTCCGCCGCGCGCCAGGGGCTACACTCCCGGGCCCCCCTGGGCGCCTTCCAGCTTCGGTTCCCGCCCGCTCCTTGGAATAACCCCTGAGGCTTCAGCCTTCGCCGCAAAGTTTCCCGAGGAGACCCGCCTCCCCGGCCGCTGCGCAGGTAAGGAAGGATTCACGGGGTGGGGGCCGGGGGCCGAGAGAGCGGGACGGGGCGCCGGGGCCAGCGAGGTGGGGGCTGGGAGTGCACGGAGGCGGCGCGGGTTCGGGCTGCCCAGCTTTGCCCGGGCGCCGCGGGGGCCGTGTCGCCTTTGGGATTTGGGGCTGGGGCCCCCGCGTCGACAGCGGAGCGCCGGCCCCGCCGCGGGGAGGCGCGGGGTTCGCGGTTGGAGGCTCCACTCTCTGGAGCCGAGGCTGGAAAGGGCGGGGGCTCGGCTAGAGCTCCAGCCGGAGCCCCTCTCTGCGCCCCCGGGGAGGCGGCCCGGCCCGCAAGGGGTCCAGGTTTGGCTGGCGGGTTCCGGCCCCCGCCTCGCACGCAGGAACCAGAGGCTTGGGGCGCGTGGAGAGAGGCAGCCGGCCGGCTCAGGCGCGGCGCTCCGGTTCCCACCAAGCGCTTGAGTCACGGCTGGAGCGAGGTTTTATTTTTAAAACGACTTCAAGGGGGGCATAAGCAGCCTCCAACTTCCCTCCCTGCGCGCGCTGTGTACTGTCAGCCCTGTGCGGGGCAGGGGGCCGGGGCTGTGCACCTGGCGCCGGAACGGCGGGACCGCCGAGCTTGAGTCCCGGGGCTGCGAGGCCCCCCACCCAAGCTGGAGGCCAGGCACACGCCCCTCCTCGTGGGGGACTGGAGGCTCAGGGAAGGAAGCACGGGGAAGAGTCGTTGCCCAGCTGCAGGGAAGCGTGGCTGATCAGAGCCCTCTGAGGAGAAAGTTGTGGAGCTGGAGCCATCAGAGAGCCGCCCAGGCTTCCAGGTGGTCCGCGGGCTGCAAGGCTCTCTGGGATGTGTGGTTTTAAGAGAATACAGCCTGGCTGGGGTGTGCCAGGCCCCTGCAGCCCAAGCCAGAGCCCTGATGTAAATAAATAAAGCCCAGGCAGGGTTTGGGGGTGTGTGTGAAGGTGGGGGTGGGCAGCTGAGTCTGGTTCTGCCCCACCCTGGTGCCGGGACCTTCAGGGAGGAGGAGACCTGCCCCTTCTGGCCCACTTTCCGGGTGGCTTAGGAGTTGGGGAGGAGGCTCGCCTGCGTGGCAGCACCAAGCTCTTCGGGGTGCTGGATGCCTTGGGCAGCGGGCGGTGGGCTGGGGCGTGGCCCTCTCTGCCCAGCAGCTGTGGGGAAGGCGGCCACGCTCAGGGGCTCCGGGCTGTGGTTTCTGGAGTGAGAGCCAAATGCATTGCTTCCTGCCAGCCCCAGGAGGAGAGGCGCAAACATCACCTGTCAGCTGGTGCCGACTCCGTGGGCGACTGTTTGGGGCTTCCTCCGAGGTTTAAAATGGAAATGGTCTGAGATGCAGGGCCTGTGCCCGCAGAGGACACTGCCCAGCAGGGTGGGCAGCGTGGGGACCCTGGTGGGCCTGCAGGGCAGGAGGAGCCGGGGGCCTGTCACATTCTGACTGAGGGGCTGGCCGTGGGCAGGTCTGAGAGCAGGAGAGAGGGGGGGCAGATGGGGATGTGTGTGGGGGGCTCTGTACGTGGCCCCAGCCCGGTGGTCTCACACAGACACAACCGGCCCCACGCGCCCTAGAAGGCCTCCCAGTGGGAGTCCAAGCCAGGTGCGTCCGCAGCTGCCTCGGCCCACAGGCGGCGTGCGCCCTCGCTCCTCCCGCACTTACTGCTTCCAAGCCTCTCCGCCTCACCGAGCCTCAGTTTCCCTCGTTGGTGAGGAGGGGTTGACTGTATTCAACTCTCAAGGCTGAACGTGGGGGGCTCTGGACTGTGTTATAAAATGGGGTGGGGTGGACAGGTACCCTGCTCCTGGGCTGGAGGGGTCCCAGAGGACTGGGCACCCACAGAGCCCTTGGGGGGTTGGGGGAGGTCGGAATCCCAAGGACGTGATGCTGACCGGCAGTGGTGCCCCCCCCCCTCCCCCCCCCCCCGCACACCTTCTAATGAAAGCCCCTGGGGGGCCCCCCAGCTTGTTTGTAAGGGGGAAAGTAGGGAGGGGTGCGGCCGCCCCATCGGCCCGGCTACCAGGTCTGTGTGGGAGGCTGTCAGCCCGAAAGACTCAGCTCTGCAGACTTGGGGCCTGGCGGGTGAGCCCAGGTCGCCTACTGGGTGCCTCTGGTTTGCTGCCTTTGGGGCCCTGCTTCCTTGCCTGCACAGGGGGATATAGTGGCTGCCCCCCCACCAGAGAGGATATGTGGGCACCCCAAGTGTGGGGGAGCAGGGCAGGGCAGGGCACAAAAGGTGGGCAGGTGGTATTTGTGCTCGCTCCTGAGTCAGCTAAGGGATGGACATCGGCGGCCCCGAGCTGTGGCAGTTGTCAAGGAGCTGGCCTGAAGCAGGGGAGGATGCGGCCCCTGGGCACAGTCCCCTCTGCCCAGTCAGGTGTGACAGAGGCTGCAGGCTGACGTGGGGAGGCAGGGAGCTCGGTGCTGGGTGTGGCGTGCTCGGCAGCTCTGGGCCTCTGGGGGGGCAGCCAGTGGACGGGGCGGATGGCTCCGGAGTGGCAGTAAGCAGATAAAGGCCCTGTCCTGCAGTTGGGCGGCCCCACTGTGTATCTCTGGGAGTTGGGGACCTACTGGCTGTTGCCTCCCCAGCCAGCCAGGCTGCCCAGGAGTCAGGGCTGAGGAATGGACCGATCTCCGAGATGGGTCTCTCTGGGGCTGTGTGGGGCTCTGGCCGGGCCAGTCCTTCTGCCCCCACAGTGCTAGGGACTCGCGGTTCCTGGGAAGGGTGTCTCTGCCTGGCCTGCTGATCTGGAACAAGTGACCAGGTCTCGTGGGGCCTCAACACCCTCACCCGTGAGAAGGGGTATGTGTCCATCTTGGGGTACCCGCCATAAGATGATGCCTGTGAATTTCTAGCACAGAGTTTATGCCTGGCCATGGGGGCCCCTGTGTGGGTGACACCTGGCTCATGTGGAGCTTCCAGCTTCTTCAGACCTTAAAGTGGCAGGAAGGACCTACTCGGGCCCCTACCCCAGGCACCAAGGCCCAGAGGGGTCTCTCCCACCTGCTGGCCGCCATGCCTGGCCCTGGTGACAGTGGGAAGGTCCGGGAGTGAGGCGTTGTCAGCTGGGGTGAGGCGGGGGGTCCTGCCTGTGGCCCCCCCTGCGGGGGGTCCTGCCTGTGGCCCCCCCCTGCCCGGGGACGCACTGCGAGGGACTGTGTGGAGGGGCCCGAAGGCTATGGGCGTGGCCGGAGGTCCCAAGTGCCTGTAGAAGGGCGTGAGGGAGTGGCCCCGGGGTGCTCACCCTCCCGAGAGGCTGCCAGGGCTCTGGAGGGTGGGGCTGGCTCAGGCCTAAGTAAGATCTGCTTGTTGCCTTTGGTGCACAACCCTGTCTGGGATTGGGGGGGGTCTCCCTTCCCAGAACCTGGCTTCTCTTTCCCCAGACAACGGGTTCAGGCCTGCTCCTGTTTGTGTGAGGGCACAAGGTGAAGGGCGAGGAGAGTGGACCCGATGGCCAGAGGAGACGGGGCCAAGTACAGCACGACCCCAGGGTGCCCCAACCATGCACCTGCCCCCCAGCCAGCCTGGCCTTCCCCGGCGCAGCTGGAGCGGAGCGGGCTGCACGGACCGGGCCGTGTTTGAGCAGGCCGGTGTCTGCCTGGGCCGGCGGCCGGATGCCTGTTTACGGCTGGGGCGGCCCCCAGAGCCCAGCGGCTCCCCAGGGTCGGCAGCTCTGCGGATGATGTCAGCAGCAGGGGCCTCGGCTCACCTTGCGGAAGTTGTTTGCTGGGTTTGCTGCAGCCCTGGGTTTTGAAACGCCCACTGTGGGGCTCGCAGGCTTGTGTGTGCTGCCCCCACACCCCGCAGAGTTGGGGCCAGGGAGTGTGGGTGAAGGGAGGGAAGGGGGCTTGGGCGAAGGCATTGCTTTGGCTGGTGGGGGTGTTGGCCCACAAGGCACCCTGTTCAGCCCCCCCCAGCTCCCTGGCTTTTCTGTTTTTACCTCCCTCCCTCCCTTTCCTGTTCTTTCTCTCTTTCTCTCTTTCCTTCCTTCCTTCCTTCCTTCCTTCCTTCCTTCCTTCCTTCCTCCCTCCTCCCTCCCTCCCTCCCTCCCTCCCTCCCTTCCTCCCTCCTCCTCCCTCCCTCCCTCCCTCCCTCCCTCCCTCCCTCTTCCCTTCCCTCCCCTCCTCCCTCCCTCCCTCCCTCCCTTCCTTCCTTCCTTCCTTGTGTTGGGCATGGGTTATGGGCTGGGGAGCGTATAGTTGGGAATGGGGGTCAGATGGCAATTGGATGCCCCTCTTCCCACTGTGGAGCCTTGAGCTCTGCAGGTGGGGAGGCAGCCCTGTGAGGCTGGGTGACAGGGGTCTGCTGGGAGCTGGGGTCAGGGAAGGGGGTGCAGGAGCCGAGATGTGAAGCAGGGGCAGGAAGCGGTGAAGAGGAGGGACAGGAGGCAGGGGCCGGGTGGGCAGGACCAAAGGGAGGGGCTGCACGGGACGCCGGGCAGGTGGGGGAGGCACCACGTGCGGGCAGGCGGCCACACATGGGCGTCTGACAGCATGTCCAGGGCTTGTGGCCTGTCTCCTCGGGTCTCTGCAGGACTGTCCCTCTCTGTCGGGACTCTCGGTGGGCCCTTGGAAGGGCGGGCTCCCTGGGCCCAGGGTGCAGGGGTCCCCTATTCCTGAGTGTGACCTGTGTGGACAGGCGGGCCCAGCACTGGGTGGGCCGAGAGCGGGAATGCTTGTGATGGGGGCGGTGGCTCCAGTATAGACTGACAGCTGTCAGTGACAAGCAGGCTTCCTTGGAAACCCTCTCCTGGCTGTGACTGTCCCCCGTGCAGAGATGGGGCGCTGGACAGAGGGATGATGCTGGGGAGGAAGGGACCGAAGGCCAGGTCTCCTGGAGGCACCAGGACCAGCTGTGTGGGGCTCAGCTAACCACTAGGGGACACTGCCTCCCAGGCAGCCCCGCGCCCAGGTGCTCCAGGCTGAGCTCGGAGGAGGGACTCCGAGGCTGGGAGGCAGTGGCAGGCTCTTTGAGTGGATGTCTTTGTGCTTAATTAAA